CGTAATCTGATAACAATAAATAACTTATAGTAATTTAACAATAACGCAGCTTTGGTTTTACTCTGACTGTGCTTTTATTTTGAAACATCAGGGGTTGTGTCCATGGAAACAGTAGCTCATGCATACTAACGCTGCTGTTGGTTGGACCTGGCTACCGCATCACCTCCACCTCACCACCTAACAGCCAATCAGCTACTGGTTGATGATGTCATTCAGGCTGATTGGACGTACAGGAGCCGACAGGTGCGTGTGGAGGTCAAAGGTCACAGACTAGTTGCAGTCACACACAGCCTCACCTGTCATGAGCTTCTCTCTTTGTGTCACGCGATACAGGAGGAAAATAATGACAGCACCGAGGAGAACCACAGGAACCAGGACAGCGGGGAGGATTTTGGGCCAGACAGGCGGCGGAGGACGTTCTGTAAGGAACACAAAGAAGCAGAACATCATCCTGTACGACCTCTGACCTCTGATCATGGTCTTCTATTTGACCTTCTAGCTGAGCGCTGCTGAACCACACAGACCTGTTTAACCAGTCAGTGACCAGCGTCTGTGCTGCTGATGGTTCTTCATCACTAAACAGAACATGAAGCAGCACAGACGTCCTCTGTCTGTGACTCCATCCTCTCTGGACCTGACCTTTGACCTCATCAGGGTCAGCTCCACAGCTGGAGTGAGGGTCTGAAGCTCTGTGACTAATGAGGTCACAGAGACTGTTCATCAGCATCCACCTTGTGTTACAGGCGGATGCTGATGTCAGCGATGACATACTCGTTAAGGTTTCCACGGAAACACAAACCTGCGTAAGCCTCTTCTGTGTAACCGAACGTGTTCACATACGTGAAATATTTCATGCTACTGAACTTTATCTTTCTGAATGCGTGTGATATGATTCAGTGTGACCTTTGACCTGAACCTGCAGCACTGACCTTTGACCTTCAGCTGGACGTCAGTCCTCTGCTGGTCCGCTCCATGGCTGCGGGTGACACAGGTGTAGTTCCCACTGTCGGTGAACGTGGGCTTCCTCAGAGTGAGGCTGAGGTCTCTGGTCTGCAGGCCGAGCATTGATGTTCGGTTGGAGTAACGCTTGTTTTGGTTGATGAGGTCTCCAGTCTGCAGGGCGTCGGCGGACATTGATGTTTGGTTGGAGTAACGCTCGTTTTGGTTGATGAGGTCTCCAGTCTGCAGGGCGTCGGGGAGCATTGATGTTCGGTTGGAGTAACGCTTGTTTTGGTTGATAAGATCATCTTTTCCCTCCACGACGGCGTGAACGATCGGAGAAGACAGATCTTCGCGTTTCCACACAATCGCATGATCCTTAGAAACATTCATGTTACAGGGCAGCAGGACAGACTCCTCCCCCTCAAACACCTCCACCCCTGATGCATGCTGGGACGCTGAGGACACAAACACAAGTTTAATCAGTGTGGTTTCCATGGTAACCTGACAGCGTGAGCAGGTGAACAGTTACCTGCAGCTGAGCGTGGGGCTGAGAGGAGGAGATGTCAGGAGTTTATCACAGAGACTGAGTGCGTGAACACGTCTGAGCCACAATCACAAACACGACATGTTTGATAAAGACTTCCTGTGTGTGTGCGGGACAAACCGTGTGCACTGATGGCAATCTGTTTGTGTCTCTGTGCAGACGCAGTTAGTAAACTGTGCACCCACATCTGTTACACCTGCAGATGTTCTGTCTGCTGGAACATCTGGAGCACAGCTGATGTGCTGCAGGCTGTGAAGCCCCGACACCTGCTGGCAGCTGCAGCTCCACCCTCCTCCTGTCACAGTAAACTGCACAGAGGGGAGGAGCTGCTGAGGTCAAACAGATGTGCAGCGCAGACACACACACACACACCAGCAGCTCCAGATGTTTGATGAAGCGCAACTCCATCAGCTTCCTGCCGCAGCAGTGGCTCACACTGCGAGCTCCGCCCAAACATGGCGCCCACAGGACATAACGTAAATCACCAAGAGCAGCTGTGTGTGCGTGTGTATGTGTGTGTGTGTGTTACACAGAGCGCAGTGTGTGCATGTAATCTGCTCTGAGCCTCGCGCGTTGGTAACATGTGTACAGATATGATCAGAGAAAAGAAGCGCGGTCACGATAGCGGCGCGTTAAAAACTTTGCGCGTTTACATTCGTATTTACGGCTCCGCGTGTGGACGCAAACGGGGAATTCATGGTGCGTTTAAGTACCGTTCGTACGCATGTACGTATGTTTAGCAGCAAAGCTTCTCTTCCAACTGTATCTCTAGTAAATGGACAACACTCACAAATATTGATAATAATGCTAATAATCATAACCGCTTAACTTTGGTTAACTGGAAATTGTCTCGTAGCAGGTTAAGGTAACGACATGTTAGCATAAAATCATTAAGCAGAAACCAAAGAATTATCAACAAGTACAGATACTGTCAGTAAACTTCAGCTTTCTAATAAATATATGATCCTTATTCCAGTAAAATATTTAAGCTGTGTGGCATCAGGAGATGGATTAACTTCGTTATAACTTTATTATTGTTGTTATTATTTTGAAAACAGCATCTAACCCCTCAGTGTGGACGCTGCTCTAGAACAGTGCCGACAGACTATCGCTTAAATAAGAGAACTATCTAGTTCCTCACAGTGCAGTTTGTTAGTGGTTTTCGATGACGGATAGCGTTCACTATGCAGTGAGTTATAACCGAAATCGGTAGCTGATCAATAAATAAAACATCGTATCTCCATAGATATCCTGGGTTTACGGGGTGCACTCAAATGCACCACAAAGTCGCCCTTTTTACCGTACTACGCGAATAATCCAAGCACTGTTTTAGCTCAGCTCCGGTACGTTCGTTACCGAGCAGCATGAACCGTCGGTTTGCCTTCTCCAACACCCTGCTCCACAGGCACCAAGTTCATCTACGAGACAGCAATCTTACCGAGAGCGAGGATCACAAACAGCGCACACATCTTCATCTTCATCTTCATCATGAATCCAGCTGATCGCCTTTAATCTCTCTGAAATAACCCCGCGGCCACATCGCGCTCCTCCGTCTCTCCGCTGACGCACTGCTAACGAAAAGTAGTTCTTCTACTTACACCGGAAGCGAATCTGGGCCATCGGAGCGTCAAATGACACTTTCAAAATAAAAGAACACAGTTTCAGTGGGAGAAACATTTCTGACCTTGTCGAGGCTTGATTCGTTTGGCCAGAGTCAGGTGATCAGTGACAGCCTTCATTTAGAACACAGTCAGGGATCCAGTGGGAAGTGAATCATTCCTGGGATCTGTGGAGTGTTTTCATGGTGACAGAGTCACTGATCATCCTGCTGAAGCCAGCGAGGCAGAGAGGAGCTTCTGTCATGCATTTTCAGTATTTCGAGCTGACTTTGTTCAGGTGGGCTTGCCAGCTTTGTTGTTCACTTTTGTTTTGTGTGTCTATATGTGAAGAAAATGTCTGAACAAAACAAAAATCAGCTTTTCACAATATAAATATCATTAAATAACTTTAGAAACACAATTTAATAAAATAAAAAATATATTTTATTTTTTAAAATAAGCTTAAAATGTTATTCTACAAAATGTGCAGCAATTCAACGTGTTTATTCTTTTTTATCTGGCAGTCTGTGGGAGCCAGGAAGATCGTACATCGTCTTCTGTTCATGTGAGAGGATTTCCTGTGAGGCAGGAGAAATGATCTCCAAGAACAGAAACTCCGCCGTCGCACAGTCGAACAAGTTCTTTTCTTAAATAAAAATGAAAAGGTTACCTTAAAGGCGTCATGTTTTACTTTACAAGTTTTAAAGTGTTTTCCTTTTCCAGTTCACGATCAGTTCGACCCCCAGGCCAAAAATGTGTAGAAGGAAGTTGGCCTAATATCACATTTATAAACATACCTGTCCAGCTGTCCAGTGATTAATTGCAGAAGTACCTCGCAGCAGAAGCATACTCCATTATGTGTTGTGCGTTATGTGTATATTATATGTGTTTTTATCTATTGTATTTACCAACATCAAGAAGTCACAAGCAAAGAAAGACCACAGCACGGTGCACGTTTCAACAGCAACGTTTATCAATCAGATTTATTTATTAAACAAATAAACATAACAATTCGCACAACGGTGACGCGACATCAGGCAGGATTGTGACCTCCACTCTACAGAGTGGGAGGTCACAGTGAAGCAGATTCAAGCTGCGCTTCATATTGTTGGCCACCAGAGGTCACCAGAGAGGCCTGTGCTGAAACGCTTTGAGCAATGAACCGGTGTTAGGATCAAGCTTCAAAGCTTCAGAAAGCTTCATGTGGCCATCACTACAGCCAGCAGAGAGACAGGTGCAGGTTTAACAAAAACGCCTTTATTTGGGCTGCACAACAACACTACGATAAACTAACAAAGACGTAAACTGGGACAGCTAAA